TGCAGAAGGGCGCTATTTTCAAACAGCGAGATATTGGTACCATTACATAGTTACGTAAATCTATTATGTTAAACAATTAAAAAACTATTGGGGCTTACGGCTAAAAAACTAAAAATGTGATTTCCTTGGTTTTATCTTAGGAAAAATTTGCGAAAAATGTTGTACTTTTTATGTTTACACTACGAAATCAGCTAAACAAGCTTTTAAAACAAAAAAAAAAGTTACTCCTTATTAAAGTTTCTAAAATGTATTTGAATCATAATAAAACATCAACTATATTTTTACGTCCTAATATAATCAACTTATGTTAATTAATATAAAACAAATCAATTAAAACGGCTGCCGCGGGTGATGTACAGTCGGCTAACGCTGTCTGTCCATATAACTTTGTAAATCCCATCTTAGTTGCATCTATGCTTATCTTATTTTTTTTGTAGATAGACTACTATTGTTCTGATAATGTTTTATGCAAATGTCCCAAATTGTACGGATCCAACCCTAACAGTTTATAGATGATATAATTTTAAGCAAAAAAGTTCATATTAACACGTAACACATAAACATTGATGAAAATTCGATCAAAAGTCAGGAGATGTTAAATTTAGATAACTAATTGAAAAAATCAAAACAAAAATCACATTTTACCAGTTGCGTGCGACTGAAAATGTAATATTTCTATCAATTTTAAATCATGGAAATCGGACCATTGTTAATATGAATCTTTTTGCTTAAAATTACGAGCTCTATAACCTTCTGTTTTAGATAATTTAGGACACCCTGTATAATATATAGGCTCTAAAATAGGGATTTCGAAAACTTTTATTATTAGTATTATTACTTATTAAATATTGAAATAAAAACTGTGCCACGAGTAAAATTAAAATAGGAAATATCTTACACTGAAAGAGCCCTCTCTCAACTTTAATAATTATAAGAAACATAGTAGCTTATTCTCGAGAAAACAAGAAAAACTTAAAATAGGATAAATTAAACGTTTTAATTCACAGTGATTGGGCGTATACATTCAGTCGAAAAGAGTTACCAAATTTCAACATTGGCTAAAAATGTATATTGTATATCAGTATTGCGGACGTAAAACTATTATTTTTTTAAAAAATTTTACTAGTCAAATATAAATTAAGAGCTAAAATTCAGCAGAGGTATTTCCCTTTTTATTAGTAAGGGTGTATATGTTTTAAAAACACTTTATTTTTAGTACGATTGCCATGGTCTTATTTCACTATAATTAAAATACAGATAACCAAATAGTTTAAAATCGTATTAAAAATAAAGTGTTTTTAGAACCCATACACCCATTCCTCACTGATAAAAAGGTGAACACCTCTGCTCAATTTTAGCTCTTATTTTGTATTTAACTAGTTGTAAGATTTTTTTAAATATTTAATTTATTATTCGCAATATGAGCGACCCTGTCTGAGTAAAGTTGAAAGTAACTACTTGCTGATTAAACTATAGGACTATTGTTCGTTAAGTAAACCTACATAACATCGGATGTTGGCGAATATAATTATATAACAAATTTTTCAATAATATTAAATAGATCTTCGGAATGAGTATTGAAAGCAGGTAAGTTTTTCGTTAGATTGTCGTTAAGAGCTATTCTATGAACTGCCACGTAACCAGTCAAATTTCTAATTCCGGCTTTTACCAAATTTCGCTAGGTAAGAAGGTTTCTAAAATATAACAAAATAAGGCACATTGGTATCGTTAGAGTCAATAACGCATGTAGAAAAACCTTCCGTTTTAACACAAAGTACATGAAGTAGAATTCTAGTGTCAGCTTCTTCATGGTTTGATTCTAATAATTCTCGGTTTTCTTCACAAATGTCAATATTGGATTTAAAGTATAGTAATGCTATTAAATCCGCCACTCGTTACAAACTGTACCTTAGAATCATGGAATTCGTAAGCAGAAAGTTCGTTCGATAAAATGTTGGTCAGCTGTTTCTTAATAAATATTCTGTGAATAAATTCCATTGTTGTGGAAACAAGATGTCTCAATTAGTAATAATATTAATTGATTTGGAAGATCCCTTTTTTTGACGAGTAAAACATCTTTAATCGAATTTTTAGTGTAATAGTCAAAAACAACGTCAAATCCCTTAACTTTATATTTGTTACGAAATACGATTTTGTAAATTATAACAAATTATTCCTTAAATCAAGTGAAGATACCAAAAATAAATTAAGAAAAGGTCGATCAAAACTCAGTAGTTTTTGAAAAGGACAACGATGAATCGGAAGACGAGGAGAAAATTTAATATGATTATTACACAAGATTTTGTAAGTTTTAGTTTTTCTTATAAAAAAATATAAATATCCATACTTTTTAATTAAAGAGATATAATGATTAACGTTGATGGAGGGCTATTTCAGTGTTAGATATTATACATTTATAATTTTACTCGTGGTACATTAATTTGTTTTATTATATAATATGTATTATACAGAATATCCCAAATTATATAATACAGAGACAGGTTATAGATCTCACAATTTTAAACAAAAAGGTTCATATTAACACTGGTCCGATTTGGATCAGTAGCAAAGTTACCGGTGTTTTGAAATTTATAGAAATAATACATTTTCAGTAGAACGACACTGGTGAAATTTTATTTTCTCTTAGTTTTTTTAATAAGTCATTTAACTTTTACATTTCTTGACTTTTGATCGAATTTTGATCAATGTTTTTGTGTTACGTGTTAATATGCTTAATTTGCCTAAAATTGTAGAATCTATAAACTGTTTCAGCTAGATTCGTACAATTTGGAACATCTGTATAAAATTATCACAACTATAATAGTTTATCTACAAAAAAATTAAGACTGGTTGTGGTGATAATTTTATGAGCTGGGATAGTGTCGTAGTGCGATAAAGATAGATATATGTACTAAAATTGTGTTTGAGAAATTATCATAATTGTCTATCAATTTGGCTTAGAAGACTATTTAACAAGGATCGGCTTCTGATTTAACACATGCATATTTTAACGAGCTATTCAAATTACTGGTAGATTATTAAGTATGAAACATTTTTCTTAACGTAATATACTTATTACTTCAAAAAGTTTCGCAGTGGATATATTACACAGTATGGCGCAAATGAGAGGAATAAATTATTTATTACAATGGTACTTTACAAAGTCTCTGCTCTCTTTTATAAATTCTTACACCTTAATTTATAGTTTTTTTCTTGTAGTTCTTGGGTTTTTAGGTGTTTGTAGATTAAATGAAACTCGTGTGTGTGGTTATAGCTTTCAGCACTGATCAGTGCCTTCTTCAGTAGTTTTTCTTGGTACATTTTTAAAATATTGTTTGTAATAATAAAGAAACAATATTTTAATAACAAGAGAAAAAAGTACCAATAAAAAATACTGATGGAAAGCTATAACCACACATACGACTTTTATTTAATCTACAAACACCTAAAAACCCAAGAACTACAGGAAAAAAATTAATTATTACATTATTGTTAACTTCGATTTTTATTTTCAACCGAGAGTTCTGTGAGATATTCCACTTTTTTGTGATTAAAAAAAGCAATTGATGGAAAAACCAAATATACATAAAATTGGAAAAATAAAGAAACTTAACAAACTTAATTAACTTACCTAACATGTGCGGCCTAAAGCTATCGCTGGTTACTTAGCAAAAAAATAATACAAAAAATAAGAAATATACATAAAAAAAATATTAAATTTACTTAACGTGTGCGTGAGCAATCGGTTAAATTTAAATGGCTCAAGGCCGACTGGTTAGGTAAATTCTTAAGTTTCTCTTTGAAACATTCACATTCTGTATGTTTTTTTGCGAAGCACAAGTTAGGTAAATTAGGCAAGTTTTTTATTTTTTTTTTTAATTTGGTATAATTTTCTAAAAATATTAATTTGTAAATTTTTAGTATTGTAAGGATAACATTTGTTAAATGAGGTTAGTTTGAGATTATCGAAAAATTTGCCATTAGTACCTTAATTTAACGATAACCGCTGAGTTTATTCTCCCCGGTAATAGGAATTAAACGGACGGTTGCATGGTGTCGTTTGATTTTTTATATTTCAATATTTTTAAAGTTGGTTTTTAATATACTGTCCTTTCGATTCAATGCATTTTAGATCTATTGTCTTTTCGATAAAATGTTATTCAATAAAACACATCTTAGATTAAATAATATTCGATAAAACATATCTTAGAATAAATAATATTCGATAAAATATATGTTCGATCCAATGTCATTCGATAAAATGTAGTTTCGTTCAAATTTTCAATTTGGTCATGCCCTGTCATTAGTCCTGTGAGAATGCATTGTACGCAGGAGTATCGTATTCAATATCCAGAGAAATGGAATGTATGTATGTTAATAATAGATAATGGGACCATGCTTTTTCAATGAAAGTTTAATAGATCCTCCGATATTTAGAATTTTTGCAAGTTTTCTTTGTTACCCAAACTGAATCGGTTGTTTCCATCAGAAATGATTTGTGGCTGCAGCAAAATCGATCCAATGGCCCTATGTCGTTGGATTTAACTCTTATTGATTACCAAAAGATATTTCAAATGATGTATGGCGTAAATCAATTATAATAAAAAAAATCATGAATGACGTCATCACGCTCACATAGATCGCGTCACGAATAAAAGGAATATCTTACAGCAGGCGTGTTTGAAAATAAAAATCGACAATTTTTATGATTTTTTTTCCGAAGTCAACAAATTGCGAAATAGTGATTGTACCTATTCTTCTCATTGTACCATACTATATATAATATTATCATTTTATTATGTAGTTTCTCAAAGGAATTATCTATGTTTTTACTTAAATATCTTTGTAGTTTAAATTCAGGTTTTAATTTATATTTCAACCCATAAAAAAGCAAAAGAAGTACCATAACTTGAAAAATCTCAATAAGTTTAGCAAACACGCTGTATAAATTTACCAGGAACTGTTGATAGTTCAACACTATTTTTTTTTTCACTTATTTTTTAACACATAGATTCAGCCAACGCTGGTTGCGGAGCACTATAAGGTCCTGCCCAAGGTTGGAGATTCTGCAGGGCGCTGAGAGCGGTGTCCCCCGGACCGGGTTGGGGAGGGGGACCTTCGGTCATATACCCCTTGGACAGGGCTTCGGCTTGAAGGGAGAGCATTAATCTGTTGGCTGCTTGTCGTTCCGCTTCGCGTTCTTCAGCTGTTTGTCGCCTGAAATAAAAAGTTTTATTAAAATAGGATTACCTATTTAATATATGTTTTTATTTTCTTGTATCTGTTATTAAACAAGTATCAACTTAGGAATCTTTCAATATATCATTAAAAGTTTAAAGATCTTCAATATATTATTTAAGAAGAGAAATATAGGTTGATATCATCACATAACCTACTCTGCTGACAGGATTGTAGTTTAGCCAATGCTTTGTAGCTTAGATTGCTTGTCTCCTTGTAGGAAACTCTTTCTACAAGCCAATGGAAAAATGCAATCGTCGAGTGTCCCCCTCGTGGCACTGCTGGATATGTTAATATTGCTGTTTTAGGAACAACTTTATTAACTAACTGAATGATACTCCATTAAAACCTAGGCAAAGGTGTAAGGCAACGTGCTGAAGGCTGAATTGTAGTTGGAAAAGCGATTACATACGTTCGCGTTGAGGCACATGGCAAAACGCCCTTCCATCCAGCCTTATCAGCACATGCGGGGCTCAGCACCGGTCGATTTTTCCTTCCCTAGCTGTTCGTGGAATTTACTTGGATTGTAAATTTAAAAACAATCGACGAGAATACACCATCTCCAAATCTTATCGAACGGAGCCTAATATCCGACGCGATCAAACTATCTCAACCTCTTAAGTGATACAACCACATAAGAAATAAATGGAAAAAACATGAAAGAAATGAAGGAAGAATAGAACAGAAACACCACCGCATCACCATTGAAAGGTTCTACTACTTTCCTATTCACTAATTGATCCTCTCATTTACCGTCATTCGTTCCAAGTCGTCAAAAATAAAAGGCTAGTCGGAAAATTCTCATGGTAATACGGTCCATGGTGGAACGTCCCAGTAATCATCCATCCACGACATGACCGGATAGATCTCTGCTTTACTCTTGCGAGGATTTGGATAAATACTAATTTCGCGGCTAGCTTCTCCGGCGAAGCTCCCCATAAAAAAAAATTAAAGAAAGCTACCTGCTTACCTTTATCTTTACCAACCTGGTGGAAGGGATGACAAGAACTCAGTGGGGCAGGGGCCAGGTGGTATATTTGATACCTTTATCTGGGCGTCGCACTGTAAGAAGCAAAAATAAAGGTGTTGAACACATGTACCAGGGATAGGAGACCAAATCCCAAATCAAAAAGAGAGCATTACCACACCACCGCAAAGAGCAGACAAAAAGACCTCTGCTTCCAGCAGTTGTGCAACTGTCGACAAGACGGAGCGAATTGCCATCCTACCTAAGGGGTTCCCTGATACTATCCTTAGTGCGTATGAACAAACCTTATTGGTGAAATTTATGGTGGAACAGATGTTCTCCGGATAGAAGCACATTTGAGTGAGAATGTTGCAACCGAATTGAGGTTTCGCAAAGATGAATTAAAAATGAGAGAATTTGCTATACCTGGTGCAAAAAATTAGATTTACAAGAATAAAAAATATTCACTAATATTTTAAATTATAGAAATTTTCATATGCCTCTATTTTTAAACAAATGAATAAAGGTATAGAAATGGGATCCATAACATAACAGCGCAGGACAAATTGGCGCAGGACAAAATAGCGCAGATTAAGTAGCGCATGACAAAATAACGCAAAGACAAAAAAGCACATGGACGAAATAGCGCAGAACAAAATGACGCAAGAACAAAATAGCGCGTAAATAACAAGATATGTTTTTTTAATTAATAAAATTAATTAAAATAATGCCTAACACATACCTACTCTTCCAATGAGCCCTTGTAGAGAATATTTGAAGTGTATCTCCATTTCTCTTACATTTTAGCTTCCGACCCATTTTAGCGAGAAACAATATAGCGCGAAACAATTTAGCACGGGACAAATTTGCGCCAAAACAAATACGTGAGAGACAAATTAACGCCTGATATAAATAAAATGAGACCAATTATTGCCTCGTCTAATTATAGTGAGTTAAGTTAGCACTTTGTCAAAAAAGAGTAAAACAAATTAACGCTTGACAAAATATGCCAGTATTCTAATAAAAAAAATCTAAACTAATTTGCCTAACCTGTGCGGCCTGAAGCCGTGGTGGGTTGCTGTATACGGCTCCAGGCAGCACAGGTTAGGTAAATTATTTACGATTATTGTTTAATTTTTCCAATTTTATAATTTTTTTTTTTTAAGCAAAATGCGATGGTTACAAGCCGCTCAGGTTAGGTAAATTAGTTTAAGTTTCTTTTTTGTTTTAATTAGAATACTGGAATATTTTGACAGGGCCTTTTATGTCCTGCGCTATTTTGTCCTGTGCTATTTTGTCTCGCTCTATTTTATCCTTGCACTATTTGGTCCTTGCACTATTTGGTCTTGCACCATTTTGTCCTTGTGCTATTTTGCCCTTGCGCTATTTTGTCTTGAGTTATTTTGTCTGCGCTATTTTGTTCTGCGCCATTTTGTCCTGGGCTGTTTTGTCATATAGAACTGTTCTTAAATGACATGGATAAGTATGTGCCTTAAAAACACAAGTAGATTGCATTTTAATTTGAAACACTGACTGACATTTACAGTTTTTACCAAAGTGCCACATGTCTCAAACCCTCATAGAGTTTTTCTTTGAATGTATTCGCTCACTTGAAAGCCACAACAATAACCCCACCACCCGGAAATTTCTGGGGGCTATGTTCAAATTCGAGAGAAAGTGATTTCTCAAGATTTTCATGAGAAATGTCATACGTCATCGTAAAAACAGTATTTTTAAAGCCAATGAGAATTCAGTGTCTAACAGAAAACGTCAGTTAGTCAGTACGAGAAAATTAAAATTCTCCTAAGAATTTTAATTCTCACTGGCTGGCTATAAAAATACAATTTTCACTTTGACGTATGATATCTCTTATTAAACTCTTGAGAGAAATTAGTTCTCCTTAGTTTGAAAATAACTTACAAAAAATATTGGTAGATACCTGTCGAAGTACGTGAAAGTTTTCATGGAAATTGTATTCCTCTAGCATAGTTTCGAATTTTACATTGTCCTTTTCGTCAAATGAACGAATCTTTAAGAGGATATAGAGCTTTTGGCTTATCAGAGAAATACGATAGTCTGCTAGACGATACTGAGCATGATCATAATTATTTACCAAACATCACGCTATCGAGATTTACAAAGATATTGTAACATATTGCTGGGCTCTACTGTATATTCTCTTTAAAAAAATCTTTGTATGCAAATAGGAAGACCTACAAATATTTTTGTTTATAGACAAAGTAAAGAGCCTACAGTATGGATGTGTTAGACCAGCGTTATTCAAAGTGTGGTCCGCGGAGCCCTGGGGCTCCGCAAATCCTTTGTGGGGCTCCGCGAAGAAAATAATAGTCTTAATAAAAAAAGCAGAACTATGGTAAAAAATCTGATGTGTAACACATGACTTTCCTATCTAATTATAGGCTTTTTCTGGTTATTTTGTACAACCTATTGTAGCACTAAATAAACTAAATATATACATTTTCCACGAATATATAACTCAAAACATTTTTATATTAATATTTATTGAAAACGAAAATACTAAAAAAATTAAATTTAGCACTTTTCTCCAATTTTTCCATTACGGTTCATTTTAGAAAAATCATGCTAAAACAAAAATTATAGATATCGATATCGGAAACAACTTTTAGTTTAACAATTTTCTTAAAAATCAGAATTTTGCACATTTTGTCAAATTTCTCAAATACGGACCATTTAAGGAAATATTAGAAGTAACTTTTATTTAAACAATTTTTTTCTCCAAACATAAATAACAGCTATATTCCATAAAATATAAAAACGGCCTCTCCTAAAGTACCCCCCCCCCCAGATGTTCCTACTTTGTCCAAAATCCAATCATTTCACCTCAAGCCGAAATAAAACTAAAGTTTAAAATTTGATATTTTTTCCTTTATCCGTTTTTGAGTTTCCTTCAAATTTAAAAATTTACACATTTTCTCAAATATGGTCCATTTTAGAGATATTACGTATAGGATAAAAATTAGAGAAAATTAAATTACAAACAGATATATTCCATAAAATATAAAAATGACCACAAATAAAGTACTCCCAGATTTTCTGACTCTGCCCAAAATCTAATCAGTTCATTGGACGCCGGAATAAAGCTTAGGTTTAAAATTTGGTGATTTTCTTTTTATGGGTTCATGAATTATGGTGCATACAGACTCACACACACACACAAACACACACAAACACACACACACACACACACACACACACACTCACACACACACACACACACACACACACACACACACACACACACACACACGCACACCCACGCACGCACGCACGCACACACACACATACACACACACACGCACGCACGCACGCACGCACACACACACACGCACGCACGCACACACACACACACACACACACACACACACACATACACACACACGCACGCACGCACGCACGTACAGACACCCACGCACGCACCCACACACACACACACACATACACACACACACACACACACACACACACACACACACACACATACACACACACACGCGAGCACGCACGCACGCACACGCACACGCAAACACACACACACATAGACATCCCGAAAATAGTCAAAACGGATTCAGGGGACCCCAAAACGTAAAAATCCGTCGAAAACTGGAGGTCGAAAAAATCATGATTCCTATACTTTCCTTATCTGTATACAGATGGAAATGTAAAAAGGGACCTGGCTCAAGGCCTTTTTTTTAAATGTGTTTAGGGCTCCGTCAAATAATTCGTTTTTCAAAAAGGTTCCGTCACCAAAAAAGTTTGAGAACCACTGTGTTAGACGTTGTCTTCAATATGAGAAAATAATAAAAAGGAGATGTCTCTTCAAATTATCATTATCCACCTTATTTTAGTAGAACATGTAGTGTCTTTAGTGTTACAAGTCATTTATAAATAAAAATATATTTGCAAATTGCATAGTTTTGATCAGAATCCCTTGTATAACCATAATAGAGTACTATTAATATAACCTTCATCT